CTGGAGTCCCTGGATCGAGTCCCGCATTGGGCTCCCTGCTCGGCAGGGAGCCTGCTTCTGCCTCTGACCCTCCCCCCTCTCATGTGCTCTCTCTCTCTCATTCTCTCTGTCTCAAATAAATAAATAAAATCTTTAAAAAAAAAATAAAAAAAAAAATAAATCCTCCAGCAGTAATTGAGATCATGCTGCACGGTCATTTTCCTTTGCCTGAATCCTTTCTCTTTAGTGTGTATAACTGGGTACTAAAATCCAGCCGGCTGACATGCTATTCATTGCAGGGCCCAGTGAGTTTGGTTCATTGCTGTGTACTTTCAAAAATGATGTCACTGACCAGCTTGCAATCTCCGTGTGGACCGTAAGCTAAAAGGCCCACCTTTGCCTCCCACTTTCAGGTATCTGGGGCATTCAAAATATCTTGGATAACTCCCAATTCCTATAAAGCCCAGAAGCAGATATCACAGTCTAAGCAAAACAGCTTTGTGAGACACCTGTTATAAATACACGTTCCGGATAATCCAGGGAAAATGGCACGGTGAATGCGGAACAACAGCAACGAATCAAAATAGCATAATACTACAATATAAATACATATGTAATTATTAAAATTAATTGGTCCAGGTTTCTAAAGGGAAATCAGAGGTTATAAAGAAGTATTGGTAAATAGAAAGCACAAAATATGTTGGCAAAACAACCCTAAGGGTATCAGTAATCATGACAAACATGATCTGGCTAAGTTCAACACATTATTTATCCTGATAAAAGGAATCATTCACTAAAACTAATAATGAACCTGTAGGCATCTAACAATAAAGCCCCAAAACTAGGCAAAATGTTCAGAACTGTAAGGAGAAATGGGTAAATTTACAACTGTAATGGAGAATTTAATAACCACCTCTCAGAACTGATATATTAAGTAAACAAAATGAGCTAAGATGTAGAAGATTTGAACAACAAGATACATCACTAATGATGTATTGTATGGTGACCAACATAACACAATAAAATAAAATAAAATTTAAAAAATAAAAATAAACATAAATAAGCTAAACCTAACAACTAAAAAAAAAATACTAATCAGTGCTAACATTTATATGGTGCTAAGTGTTCCCAGGCCCTCAACTCTATGAGATGGGCAGTATCATACCATTTTAAAGGGGACAAAACTGAGGCAGGAGAAGATATGCAAGTTCTCTAAGATTATACGATGAATGTATCACAAAGCTGTAATTCAAATATACAGTCGACCCCTGCACAACATAGATCTGAACTGCGAGGGTCAACTTATCTGTGGATTTTTTTCTCAGTAAATACAGTACAGTATTATAAATGTATTTTCTCTTCCTTATGATTTTTTAAATATTTTCTTTTCTCTAGCTTACTTTAAAATATGTGTTAATCGACTATGTTATCGGTAAAGCTTCTTGGTCAACAGTAGGT